ATCTCGACTCTTTTTGAAGGTGTCAAATTTAGCTTAAACAGGGCTATAAATGCACTGTATGTTAAACTCGTTTACTACTGATTTTAGGCTTTTACACAAAATAGTCCTATTCATAGTCTGCACTTTCCTTTGAAATATTAGGACAAGAACAGCCAATTTTTTTGAGTAAAAACTGAAAATTGACTCAAATATTTTCTGTTTTCCACAAAATAAGGGTTCGTTTTGAGAAATATTGAAGAATATCGGGGGAAAAGTGCCGGAAAATTTGGGCAAGGAAGTCTGGTGGTGAAAAGGTTTAATACAAGAGATAAGGACAAAAGTTTCATGCAGTAGTAATTATTAAACATTATATTCAAGGACTGCATGTAAAACAAGTGTGCAACGGAAAAGACATTTGGACATGTTTTTCAAGTTGTCTATTAATAAACTGCACACATGACACATTATGGTCACACATTCTGGCACTTGTCTTATATGGCAGTAAATCCTATAAAATTTCCAATATTCTACCCCAAATTTTGCAGTATCAAAATGATTTTGAAATTCGATAACAACTTTTAAAATAAATTCTCATTAGTAACCCCACCTGATACATCAGGTTATTGCAGTAATTTTAGCAATCTTGTAATGGTTGTATTAGGATTAATATCTACCATTTTAAATTTATAAGTAGAAAAATGTATATATACAAATAGATTTTAGAGTGTCTCATTAACATATTTTTTTGCTAGATGCATCTAATTTCTAGTTATTACACACAGAATATTTTAGTGATGCTGGAGTCCAATATAATTTCAAAATGTGACACGTGCTCGTGTAAAATGATATCTCGGCATGGGTCATTTTTTAAGTTCATTAGACTAGGTTCCCTCTAGGGTGCATCAATTCTTTTTAGAAAATTTCTGTTATAAAAGCTGAAATGTTCATCCGTTGGCTGAATGCTGTTTCTTGTTCATTGATAACTTCATTGTGACACTTAAGTATTTCACATTTTTCTGACTTAATTAATATTCAAGTCGAGTGCCAAGAATTCTTTGGGAGAACCCTGGTGATAAAACTGAGAGTACTGGTATATCAGTCATCGACCTTGTAAAAGTAGTAACCCCCCCCCCCACTACCAGTAGCATATAGCAGCCAACGACCTCATAAAAGTAGTAAATTTCCTTGCATGTCTATTACCATCCCACCAGTGATCTATGATTGACCTGTGAATGGCAGTTTCATTGATCTCCATGTTTGCGAAAAATGATTTGTGTCGACCCCTATATCTGTTGGCTCAAGAGACCTATCACAACTTTTGTTTTCTGCTTTCTGCTAAGTATATCATAAAAAAAGAGAGGGGGGGGGGGGGAAGAGGCACTATACTGCATACAACATTTTTTTGTGCAATTCAAGACTATCAAATTTTTTTTATAAGCTTAATTTTCAGCACTTTTCTATAATAAAAAACCTAAATAAGATATTGCTTTATATATATTTCAAGCAAAATTTGTCAAATTTGAATCAAAAAGTTTAATATACTGTGCATGATCTTTTTGTATTCATTACATTTGTCAGATTTTACTAAAAAGTCGTTATCAAATGTGTAACTTTGTTGTGTGCCAGTCACGCAGATCTTAGGGACGACGTCAAAAGATCGATGTCGGATAAAAAACTTATTTCCTTTAGTTTGGGGATGGGGGGTTTTGACCTCAAAAAGTTTCCATCCTACAAAAACGAGTTTATTTTTAAATGAAGTCAAAAAAATCTTGGAGTATTTGTAGTTTGTTTTTTTTCTATCCAATCATGGACAGAAATAACCGAAAAGGGGAAAAAAAAAAGAAAAATGGTTTGGTTCGAATGTAGTCTGACGCCATGA